GGAGAGTTGAGCAGGTGAGCGCGCGGCAAGGGTGTGGATGTATAAGTAGACTACATGTGACTTGAAGTCATGCTGAGAGCAGACGCGGCGCGCCATTTACGTAACACCAAGAAATAGTGAATAAGGGGAGACACGAGGTAACGAAAATACCCTTTCAAATTTCCCAGCCAAATATTTGATCCCGGAATAAGGATAAGAAAAATAAGCGGCTATATTTGAAACATACTAATGAACTGAATGAGCAGCAAAAGCCATTGCATCACAATTCCAACCCTGTAATCATAATGCATTGTCGGTATTTGGACTTGTAACTTGCGCCTCGGGACCTGACCACTGGATCCTTACATAGTCTTTTAACTTATCAACACTGACAACAAGACATACCCAAGTTGTCCATCCGCTAGGGACCTTTACTTACACCTTATAAAACCAAACTTCACCAAACCATTTATTTACCCACAAAGACCCTCAAAACTTGACTCCAGACTCTTCTATTCTCATCCCAATACCATAGAGATCTTCTCATCTCCCAGAAACATAGCCTATCACCCCTTCATTGTCAAGAAACCTTGCTGATATGAGTGCCAAGTAGAAATCTCATAGATTCAGATTCATTGGCTGGCAATAGCTAGAAAACACAGGAGAAGCTGTACTTGAGTAGCAAGGAGACGTTCTCGTAACGGAGTTAAAGTGTGGTGATCAGGCCTGCTCTGGGGGGACAGCTGAAGTTATCACCACGTGTAATTGAGGGTTGAGTCCAAGTACGTGAAGAGGAAGACACAGGTGTGCTTGGATGTGGTCTTGGAGGAAGGAGTGGAGGTTAAGGAAGAAGAGGAGGGGAGAGAAGAGAGTCAAAGAATGTGTTTGAGGTCTCTGTCCCCACACCCAGCCTTTCTTATATACATGAATAAGTGACGAGACGATAGACGGAGCGACTACGTGATATGTCTATGGCACGAAGCAAATAAGGGTACAAGTCGACCAGCGAAGCGTACGAAGAGGCTAAAGACAATAAGAAAGAGCAGACGGGTGGAAGAAGGTCAGGGTAGCGAATATGGGCGTGTCGACATATGTCGGACAGCCTTACTAGAAGAGAGGAAGAGAACGAGAACGAGTAACGATAGCGAAGACGGAGACGAAGATGGAGACGAGCAAGGGTAAAATAGTCCATGGGGTGTGCAGGCACCTAGCACGCTACATAAAGAGTCTTACCGCGCGTCGGAGTGGGCAAAACTGGAAATAAGGGCATCTGGGGGGCACTTTTAGTGAGCGCCCTGCTTTGTGATTATGTAACTCCTTCACCCTCTCTTTGAGGTTTTTGCTGCTCACCGTTGGCTCACTGCCGATATTCTTGTAACGGAGTTAAAGAGTCTTACCGCACATCGGCGGGGGGGTGGACAAAACTGAAAATAAGGGTATCTGGGGGCACTTTTAGTGAGCGCCCTGCTTCATGATTATGTAACTCCTTCGCCCGCTTTTCTTTATCCAGCTACTTTTAGCATTTTCATCCGCCTGTCCCCTTTCCGCCCTTCACCTTTCGCCCTGACGCACTCCTGAAAGATAGGCCTTCCTCCCCATACCGTTTTGGACCCATGCATGCATAGTACACTGATGTCAAACTCGACAAAAACTTGAAATAAGAAGGTTGAAGGGTCCACCAGTCGCTCATCGCCACCGCGCGTCGTTCCTCTTCTTTTTTCCGTTTCTCGCTTTCATCGTCGTTCTTTTCGCGCTCTCACCTTTTCCAAATCGCATGACTTTACGCCTTGAAGCCGCTCCTCAGTTGCAAGCCCTACCGTGCGCGAAACTGCCGCCGTTTCATCAATCATCTTCCAGCCCTACGAACCTAGACGCGACGTTCTCCAGTACTCCCTCGGTCCCCCAACAAGATGCATCACTTTCTCAAAACGTTTACTTGCTCACCGTTATCTACATGCACAGTATCCAGCTGCAGAGCTCATCATACAATGATCCCTTTCACTCCCCCACCACGCTCACCCGCACCCAACAACTTCCGACTTCCGACCCTTTCCAACAACCACTCAACGCCGCTGGGGTCACCACCCGCCTTTTGCTCGCCTCTGGCTCTCAATTTCCTTTCAATTCCTCTCAACTTCCTCCCATTGTTACTGTCATCTTGCTCTATCACTCGCTCGCTCCTGGCTCTTCCCTCAAAAATGTGTAAGAGGCTTGCCTCATACCCTTCCTGATATACGACCCGTCGACCCTCTTGGTTGCGACTCTTTGTCTTGATTGTTGGACTGCATACAAGTAAGCATTGGTGGAGGGCAGCCTGTTGCGTTTGAGTGCCTTGACCCAGCAA